TTGAGTAGTCGGATTTTACTCAGTCTGTCTAGCTCGCACTTGTTAGGCTTACGAAGCGCCATAGTGATATGTGTAATACTAGCGAGTGTATATCAATAACTTGTCCATTAGACAATTTAATTAACTTTGTACATACAACATAGACTTCATTTATTACGGATTAAACATTTGCGTAATATAATTTTATTATTATGAAATTAAAAAAAATAAAAGTTACACGATCTTTTAAATTCTTCAATCAAAACACATTACTAATATATTGTGTAGAAGTTTGTACGTTAATATTACTTTATCATTGCTTAAATTCCACTTTAGTGGAAAAAAAATCCATTTTGTACATTACAAGTACCGAGGATGAAATGAGACAAAGAAATTGAGTGATAGGAAGTTATAACAATAGTGTAGTTATAGTCCGGCCTACAAAGAATGAATTTTAAATTGATTGTTATTTATGACATCTGTGGTTATTTAATTAAAAAGTTTAGATTACTTAGCACTATTTATTATTAATGTTATAAAATAATCATCAGCAGCAGCTTAGCCAAACTACTGAATATGGGGCTGTCCCATGTCCCCCCCGAACGGGTTCCCACTTTGTCGTGGCGCTTAGTAGCCGTGGTGCTTAGTAACCGTGGCTTGGTCGCCCGCGATGAACTAAGAGGAACCCACATGGCTGGCCAGAGGTGCAGGGCCGGCCTGAGGGGGCTACTCCGAATGGTCTTGGCGAGCCCACTTTTGATGTGTGTCGGTGGGCTGCGTGAAAGGGGCGTCATCTCCCCCTACCGAGGTGGAGTCGCGGAGGAAGAGGAGTGTTGGTATGGCGATATACCACTCGCCCTATCCTCCGCGACTATGACGGGAGCGCACTGTTGATGCGGTGGTGGTGGGGCTGCGGGAAAGAGGAGTGTTGGTATTGCGAGGCACCGCTCTCCGTACTTTCCGCAGCTGAATCCTGGTTGGCGGCGGAGCTATAGACCAGATCCGTTATGCAAGTGGAGTAAGAAGCCGAGGAGGAATAATTATTTCCGTGGAGGGGCTGCTATGAGGCGGCTGGCGCTGTTGGTACCGCAGATGTGTGCGAAAGCGTTCCCGTGGCCTTGCCAATATGCGGCGAAGATGGAACACCATGTGGTTTTAGTCGGTATGAGTCCTATATAACCCGTCCTTATATGCGTAGGCTTTCGCCATGTGCCGTTGTTAAGAGAATTTACCTTAAGGGCCTATACTACCTCAAATGGCTTAGCATGGTCCTCCCTTAAGCCGAAAATACTGCAGCATTGATTTTGAAATAAATATATAGTGAAGTGGAGGATTAATGTTAAGTACTATCTTAGACGAAAACATGATTCCATAAAATTTTCTCGATAGAAAAAAAATCTAAAGTTACCTCCGAACCGAACAATAAACCGCTGGTATTAAAATTAGATCATGAAACTTTGCATACTAACTGAAATAACTATAAAGCAGTGCTTATCTTTTTTCCTTTTTTTTATTATCATTATATTCACCGTAAAAAGAAATTACCTAAACTATCGTCGATTTAAAGCTTGTTCCCTGCCGCCGGACACCGTCACTCACTCTCGCTTCGGCTTTCGAACGGGAGAGCTGTGTCGCTTGCATTCAGAACACACATTACGTAACAGGACGACTTAAAATTAAAATATTGAAATAGATACTTAGGTTTATAGTGTTGGCGCAATGGGAAATAAACGTAATAAAAATAAGATGCGACTGGGTTGGCGTAAAGAAACAAACATATGATAAACGTAATGAAGTATCTGCTTACAGTATTAGTGATTACGAATATGTAGAAGCTTAGCATATGATACGTTTGGAAAATATACAACAAAATATATCTAAGTGTATATGGTATTTATGTAGTAATAATTTTTTTATAACATTGCCCCACTCCAGGATTTCTCCTGAATCGAAGACGGTGCGATTACAAACACAAATTTTCACAACTATCTGTAGGTCATAAAAATATTTGTTCCGTATGGGGATCGAACCCGCGACCCGAAGTGCAGAAGCCAAGCACTTAATTAGTAATAAAAATATAAGTTTGTTCGGTAAGTACCTACCTATCTAACTATAAAGAAATAAAACTGTAACTTACTTATCCGTACTTACGTTATGGTTACTCGGTGGCGCGCAGGCTTAGCAATGAGTTGCTGCGCTGGAGTCCGTGGGTTCGAATCCCGCACGGAACAAGTATTTCTATAGCCTACAAATAATTGTTCCGGATCTGGATGTTTGTAAACAACTTTAAATGTTTTATTAAAGAAAAATTGTACAAAAAGGGTAATTATAATATAAATGAATATATAAATGAAAATATCCCCTGGGAATGAGGTGATCGCCACCATGCTGGTTCTATAAAAATTAATTCAAAAATTGTAACATAATAAATTTATTGTAAATTTAAATATGTTTAAAAAAGTCCCGCTGGGTTTCTTGCTGGTTCTTCCCAGGACAGAAGTTTTTTTTATGCGAACCAGTGGTAAATTCAAAAATGACTTTAAATAAGTATTATACAATAATCTATATTGAATAAAAAATCATTCATTTCATTTCACATAAGAAAAAAGGGCGCATCTAACAATTTTTCAAAAAATGAGTTAAATATACCATTCGACTCAAAATAAAAAGGCGCAACTACTCAATTCTTTTAATATTCACAAATATCATTATTTTAGAAAATATCGTAAGAGTTTTAGACGTAACTGTTGATCAAAGATGACAATTTTTTAGTAAAAAAGACGTATTCAAATTCAACATAAAAGAAAGTACTTATTTAAACAGTTGCTACGTCATCTTTAACAATATTTGCATGAATTACTTAAATGAAAAGACGCTTTTGGATTCTTACGCCCAATCCATCTTGGTACTCACAGTGAATAAAATAATTATAGGTTAGGCGCAAACGACATCGCGTTTTTCAAATAGCACATATATTTCAGTAGACCAGCGCAAATTAATTAATCTTTTTTTTACATATATGGCATGGTCAGAAAAAAAAGCACAGGATTTTTATAAGACATTTATTTATTATAAAAAATCTACAACCGACTTCAATATGTATTATTAAGGGTAACTCAAAAACTATTGGTCAGACCTTGATCAAATTACATGGGACCACAAGAGAAGCACCAGCTTTCAAATAAAAAAAGAATCATTGAAATCGGTTTACGAAGAACAAAGTTGTGAGGTAACACACATAAAAAAACATACAGTAGAATTGAGTACCTCCTCCTGTTTGAAGTCGGTAGGAAAGGGGCTAAATGTTTCCGAAAACAAAAACTAAAAGGAACACAAATTATTTTCAAAACATTGAAACAAAATATATACCTCTAAAATTTAATCATTTGCTTATTAAATATTTATGTAGCACACTTTTATTGTTATTGTAACTAGTAAATTAAAATTAAATAGTTTACCTTCAGCGGTTTTCTAAATTATCATAAGTTTTGAGTAACAATTACATGACTAAAATATACCTAAAAACTATAATAGTCTAAAATTTGCTTTCACAGCATCAAAACCAAAATTATGCCTATAAAACTCAACTGTCACTTATATTTATTCTAGGTGAACCAATTTAGATTATTCTTGTTTTATTTAAGAGCTGGTACTTCACATGTGGTCCCATACAAATTTGATCTAGGTCAGACCAATAGTTTTTGAGTTATATTGAAGTCGGTTGTACTAAATTTTTAATTTTTAATTATTATCGTAGGAAGTCTTGTATGTTATCCCCTTTAAAATCATTACTCATGAATTGCGGTTTGTTATTTTTTTTTGTCTCACTACCAACAATTTTCTAATATTTACTAAGAAGAAAAGTAGTAAATTACTATTAGCGTCTTTTCAATTTCAAGTGACCTTTCCAAAATATGTAAAAATGTTAAATGAATGGCAATTTTTTCTTATTTATTAGGTTGGAAAGACGCAAATGGTTATATGTGTCTTTCCTTCGAAGTTTTTGTGTTGCTGGGTGTATTTTTTAAGCTAAGATGAAAAGGAAAATTCGTTTTATTTAAATAAATAAACAAATTATCAAAAAAATAAGTTCGTATTTAAAATCTTCATGTAAAATTTTTATCTGTCTGTCTGTTTGTTCCGGCTAATCTCCGAAACGGCTGGACCGATTTTTACGGGACTTTCACTGGCAGATAGCTGATTTCATAAGGAGTAACTTCGGCTACTTTTATTTTAGAAAAAGAATTATGGTTCCGCGCAAAAACATAAAAACCCCAACACGCGGGCGAAGTTACGGGGAACAGATGATATCTGTATTCGTTTTGAGACATGTCCCTCATGCTTTGTGAAGGTTTGATCTTGCTGGTTGCAACAGTATAATGAAGCTGCAAAGCTGCGCTGATTCGTTATAAACATTTTAAAAAGTTGCTGGTGGAGAGTTTTTTATGAAATAAAATAAAGAATATTTCAAATGTTATTATCAGAGCACCATTTATTTAAACAAATACATTTTTCAAAGCACATACTGAGTCGTGATTATTACAACTATACAAATCTTTACAATCTTTATATCGATCATACAGATTTAACAAAGTAGGACAACCTTTATCTTCTAAATTAATTATATTATCATTTTGTAAGATGGATTTTAACCATATAACTTTTTCTAAACCTTTGACGTATATACATTTATCCTTTATATTATCTGCAATCAAATTCTGATAATTTAAATAAGGTGTTACTCCCTCACACCGATAAATCTTTCTATTACGTTGAATCCAATTTACATGTTTTTTTTTCTTTTACAGTCAATTTGTAAAAACGAAATAGTGGTTTAATTAAAAGTCGTTGTATTTTATTGTTACACAATATTGCAATTTCTTTCACTATGAATTCATTTCTTTCTGTTTTGAAACCTTGGACATCTACGATAGCAGTCATGTCAACTTGCACACTATGTTACTTAAAGGCTTATATTCCACAAGTTGATCGTTAATGATTAAACAATATCCAGTTATCTTCTATAGTATTGCCGTTGTACATTCAATCTCCAAACGAACATCTACGGGTCCTGTTTTTAGAGTGTCGTTTTGTCTTGAACAATCTATCACAAATAGCGGAGCCTTCTCCTTAAAGCTACTTAAATCAAGTAATGCGTCTGCGGGACAGTTGTAGTACGACTGGCGAATTTTCACATACATTTCGTATAATATATTAAATTTGTTTTCGGAAAACTTTAAACATAAGGGCTCGTATGGGTAATATTGTGAATTCAAAAACAATGTCACATTTCTCACTCCACAGTGATCAAATACTGAACAGTCTTTAATTTTTTGATTTTTTTTGTTTGTTTGTAAACAAAAAATTACATATCGAGGTTTCTCTAATTGTGACGCAGTCTTGATAGACCAGGAATGCTTAGTTGCTGTAGGAAGTAAAGGGTATTCATATAAATCCCAATTTCTAAATGCCATCTGTATAGGTTTATCTCTTTCTAAATATTTAAGAAGTTTCAGTCGTTCACGATCTGATACTTTCACACGTGGCACTCGCCATTGTATTCTTTGTATGTCTATTTAAAAATGTGTACAGTAGCACTAAAATCACCGTTTTCACTTTTAAATCCATCCATATCCCAACCCCACAAAGCAGCTACTTTATTTTCTGCTTCATTCATTGAAATGTATGATTTAATTGTTGACGTTATACCAGCATTTTTAATACCATCTATTTCGATTCCATCTATCTCAAACCTTATGTCTTGAAACAAGAACATAATAGGATTATTACTGAACGTAACAGGTTTTTTAATTTGGTTTCCATCTTTGCTGAAGAGCTTTGCACGACCTTCGATGTAAATTGAACTGGCTGATGGTAATACATACATACATATGTCTTGCTGATGTATAGGAATTCTTATTTCATCGTTTTCTCTAAAGCTATTATTATATGGATTATAAGAATGGACTTCATAACTTTCAATAGAAGTATCGAAGTTTGGTAAGTCATTAATCTGTAGTATATTCATACTTTAAATCCTAAGGACTTTAGAAAATCTTTATTATTTTTACTCAAGGTCTTAAATTTTTTCTCACGTCTTCGCACCTTAGTGAATGTAGAAGTAATAGGGCGCTTTAAGTAGACTGTAGGGTTTTTATAGTGCAATATCATTTTACTTTTCTCAAATGGAGGCGAATTTCAATATATTGTTCTTTAAAATTAATTCTGTAGCCAAATTGATCTAAAACTTTAATAGTTATAGATGTAATATTATTTTTATTCACTGGGAAGTAAATAACGTTCTGAGGAATTTCTATGTATTAATTATATGCAGCAGTTTTAGATACAAATTCGTGAATAATATGAGTAGGTAAACCGTTACAATATGAACCGTATATGAGATCACATTCGATTCTGATCACAGATGGGAACTTGCTATCAACATAAGAATATTTTGTTGTTGAGTTTATTACTGAAAAATATAGTAAACCGCACTCGTATTGACCTGATAAACTCAGAGGCGGTTGAAAGTAGGAATCCAATTCTGATTTATTTTCTGAGATAGTAACTGTTATAGACATGCTTGTATACTGAGCAATTTATGAAGTTCTTGTTTATTTTATGTCTTGATTGCGCCAAAAATTCTCCAAATAAAAATCAAACAAAGATGTCCACAATTAAAAGGATGATCACGCTGTATGTTATCATAATTATAGTGGACTGTAGGACCTAAATATTTTATGCTTATTGAATGAGTTACTAACCTACAAACATAGGTATATATTTAAATTTTGCATGAACAATATTAGAGAGAAATGCATGTCACATCATGTCTGTTCTCCTATTCTCGTGTTACAAATTTCTTACTAGATCTACGCTTACTTTGCAAAATAATGCCATTCTGATGTTACAAATCCTGAGTATATTATACAATTCTCATCTTACAACACATGATCACGTCATTTCGCTACAGTACTTTCTATAAAGAGCACGTTTGTTTCTTTAGCTGAAATTTGGAGTAAGTACTTTAAATGAAATATTTAAATAATAAAGTAACTTATTCTATTTTCTATTGTAATTCTAACTCTTATAAATGTAATAAAATATGTAACTTATACTCATTTTTGTTTTTCAGAAACATGTCACATACACCATCTTACAGTCCTGTTTTGGATAGCTTAGAAAATATACGTGAGGTAAGTTACTATTTAGTTTTTATTATTTTTAATTGATTTTAAATTCATGGGTAGTAATTTTATATCTGGCTTTCAGAATTTGATAGAAGACTCAAACCCAATTACCAATCCATTTGACTATGCTCAAGATAGGCAAGGCTGGTACGATGAAATGGCGACAAAAGCGTGCGAGCAGAGCCGTCGCCAAAAATCGGAGGAAAAAAGAAAAAAGAAAAAAATCAAATCAAATTCTTTGAAAAATACATCTCAGAATCAAAGTAAAGAAAACATTCATCACATAAATGAACTTTACATTTGTGTTTCGTAAGTTGTTTATGTACGAGCTTTTCAAAATGTTTGATTAAAACAAAATGAGTCTTGTTTTGTTTATTCAAAAGCAATAAGTTTACATGCATTAACTTTCTTTGTGATGTTTTGTACAAAGGTCCTGTTACTGTATTATTTTTTGTATGTTTGTATTCTGTTTTTCAAAGCGTTTTATATCTTCAAATGTCGGTGGAAAAGACATACCGAACACATTTAAAACTTTAGAATAGTGTGGATAAGATGTAACTCGATTTGGATTACATTTCGCTGGATACATTTGTGCTATGATACACCAAAGGAAGCAATGACTGTCTGTATTATGAATATTAAGACATGACTTTGTTCTGACAATACTTTTTGGTAATGAAATAAACTGACCAGCTCTTAGCTTATATTTAGCTATATTTAGTTCTAAATGGTTAATTGACTCAATTGTCCACCCAGATTCAGATAATTCAAACTCCATGCAATTGCTGATTAAATTCTTCGAGTATTCTTCAAAAAGAAACTTTAAATGAGTAGTTTGTAATATAGGCGTATATTTAACATTATCAAACTCAGTTCTAAGTAAACAATTAATTTTATGTATATTACGCTTCTTATGTGATGAATGATTTGATGTATATGCATTATTACAGTCCTGGCAGAATTTCATTTTCAATCATATGTCTATTATTGATTGACGTTTAGTGTAATACTGCTCAAAACTTGTGTATAAATATGTATTTCAATCTTTATTTATAATTGTCGTATAGATTTAAATTCTAATTAACAACTCTAACTTATAATTACTTTGTCTAGATTTTAGGTATTTCAAAATTTAAGTTTCAATCCAGCTTTTTGTTCTTTTAGATTCAGATTTTAGTTTTTAATTTTTTTCGTTGCTGTAATGAGAGACACAGTTTTGAAAATAATATGGTATATCGCACAGTAATATAATAAACGATTCATAAATTTAAATTATAATTACTTTATCGAGGTATTTCAAAAAATCTAACTTTTAATATTTTTTTAACAATTTTTGAAAATAATTACTTCATTCAAGTATTTTAAAATCAAACTTTCAATGTCTGGCTTTTTGTTTTTAGATTCAAATTTTAGTTCTTAGTTCTTCGTTGCTGCAAGGAAAAATAAATGTAATTTTTGAAAATAATTCCTTCATTCAGGTTATTGACATTTAGTGTAATACTGCTCAAAACTTGTATATAAATATGAGATTTAAATTCTAATAATTACTTTGTCTAGATTCTTGGTATTTCAAAATTTAAGTTTCAATTCAGCTTTTTGTTCTTTTAGATTCAGATTTTAGTTTTTTATTTTTCGCTGCTGTAAGGAGAGACACAGTTTTGAAAATAATATGGTATATCGCACAGTAATATAATAAATGATTCACAAATTTAAATTATAATTACTTTATCGAGGTATTTCAAAAACCTAACTTTCAATATCTAGCTTTTTGTTTTAGATTAAAATTTTGTGTTCTTAGTTTTTCGTTGCTGCGAGGAAAAATAAATGCATTTTTTGAAAATAATTACTTCATTCAGGTATTTTAAAATTAAACTTTCAATATCTGGCTTTTTGTTTTTTAGATTCAGATTTAGCAATTACTTTATTATAGGCGCCTAAACAAAGTTAGAAAATATTAACAGGGTATAAAATTGGCTGTATAGCGGCGTACTCATCCTTTGCCGCTGCTACTAACTTTATCACAGCTTTCCACGTAAGGCTGTTGTCTTCTACAGCAGACTTCAGAGTGACGAGCGAACGCTTCCACCGATCGGAGCCAAGCTTTTTGGCTTCGAGAATCAGATTATTGAATCCAACACCGTCGCGCATCGTGTCTGGGAATGTAGAGCTATTTCAATATTACGCTACTAATGGCGATATTACCCAATATTACCATACTAAATATAAATGGCGGCTCTCTCTCTCTCGGTCTCAGCTCGGGTGAAGTCGCACGGATTCGGCTGGCCTGATTCGATTCGATTCCAAGTACTTTTGTTCCGATACTGAGTAAGTATCGCAAGATTGATTCGATGCTATTAGTACTTGGTATCGAATCAAAAGTATCGAGTACCTACTGGTCCGATACTAGTAAATACGAGTACCTACTCGTATTTACTAGTATCGGAATGTCCCACGGAATATAAATATATTCCGTGGAATGTCCCTATCTGTAAACACAAGGAACAATAACAGACTACTAAGAGGATACATTACATTTTCAGTGAGTATAATAAATTCCCAATATAATTTCACTCAGTTTTAATCGATTGTTTTTGTATTAGAATTCAATCATAAAGTGCGCTAGCACTTCTTACTAGTTTGTGTACCTATCACAGAGTACCTTTATATACCTATATAATATTTAATTTTGTCTGGTGACAACACATCTCCTAAAGTCAACTCGGCTGTCAATATAATTCCGGAAATCGATGTTGTCCTCTTGTATTTTTGTTAAAAAAGCGAACTATTCGGATAATGAAAGCAAAAAACGCTGCTGTAAATGGTATCTCACAAGTGGTTGAATCAAACTGAACCGAAATAGATTGTTTTTACAATGAGTGCCTCAGATTTGGACAGCCGTAACATAGCGATTTCCATGTAAGTATTACTATTTACTTTATTATTGTTATGGACTATTGTTTGTTCATGTGTATTCGAGGATTAGTATAATTCTACGTGTATTGTAACGCTAATAAATTAGTCTTATCTACTCACACTGCATAATTAACTTATTTGCCACAGTTATTCTAGTGGATATGTATCATACATTCTTGCAAACTATCTATTTATGTCTGAGGATAAAATTGACGTTCCAATTACATAAAGTAAATATTAAGAGTAAATATTTCACTGAATTGTTGATTAACTTTATTGCTGATTCAAGCATGTCATGATTTAAATATTTTTTTCACATCCTTCAGACAATAAACTCAATGGGCTCATTGACATGTTATGTCTTAAATATT